AGGCAGCAGCCAATAATAAAGCAAAGAGAGGAATCAGAAAATGTATGTCTTGGTTAGGTGGGTGATGCCTCCTTCCTCCTCTTCTGCCCCACCCAGTCACAGCTCTTCATCCTTCCATGAGAGGCAGGGCTGGGGATGCTCCCCACAGCTGTGTGAGCAGTCAGGGACCCAGGGAAGCTGCTCTACCTGAAGTATTCATAAAATGCTGAACTACAGAAAGGGAACCCTTGAGCAGCACAGAGAAGTGTTCCTGCTGCCTTCCCTATTGTGCTCCCCAAAGAACACCTGTTTTCATCATGTTTTACAGCCCCGGTTGTTTTGCAAATTTGTGTTCTGCCTGTGAGCACATTGGCTCGTTTATTGTGACTTGATCCTCTGAAGTGGTGGGGAGAGACAAGATTTCTTGGAGTCTTTGATTTAAAAGATAGGGAGATTCTCTTTGAGCTGAAGGGATTTCAAAGAGAGGATAAAAACTGACAAGCATCTCCCCCTCCAGGCTTTGGAAAGTAGGAAACAAATGATTTAGCAGCACCAAATTTTCTGCTTAGGGCCATGTGTGAATTCAAGGACTTTCCCTAAGGGAGTTAGGTAAAATCTGCATGTGGCTGGTACCTGGGAAGGGTCATGTTGTCAGAAGGAGATGCAAGATTGTGATCTGTGGAATGAGCCCTGATGAACACCCCCCTGGCCCCCTTAAGCTGCCTGCTGTCTCTGCTGCCCCATCCTAGAGCAGACACAGAAACCAACCCTTGTGGGGCCTGGGGAAGCTGCAGTCTGTCACCTACGTGCCCACAGACTGTCTTGGGTGCCCTAAGGGCTGCTGATCATCGGGAGTTTTTGCTAATAGTGAGAGGAGCTGTCAAGCTGAAGTGTCACAGGCACTGTGAGCCTGGCAGGCACAGAGGTGCATCTGCTGTCTGCCAGCTGACAGAGCCTGGGCAGCCCAAAGCTCCCAGAGCACGATGGACTCAGCCTGGAGGGGCCGAGAGCAGATGAGCTTGTCTGAGATGGGTGATTTGAACCAAGCAGTGGCCAAGGGCTCAGCTTGATGCTTTTGGCACTTAGGAGAGAGAAGGGGCAGCACCTTGGTCCAAAGTCAACTGGAGATGCCAAACTAAAGCTTGCTTAGGCTCTGCTGGTGAATTGCTTCATGGGAACGTGCTGTGCAGATGCTTTATTGAATTTTCAAGGAGGAGTTTCTCATTGGGACTGATATATGTGAGAGAACAGAGTGTTCCAAGTCACTACAAACGAACAGAGCACCAGGTTTACAGGTTTGTGAATGACAAAAAGGGTTTATTTAATAATGGGAGAAAGGCCGGAACATAGCCTGGGGTAGCAAGAAGGAATTAACAAAATAAAACAAGGACTTATGAAGAAATACTAATTGTAGCTGTCCAGCCTGTTGGGTGCTACAGGTTATTTTTCTGAAGTTTCAAGAAGCTTGCCATGCTGATCCCTCAAGGGCCTGAGATGTTAAATATACACTTCCCCAGTGAGTGAAGCAGATTGTTAATTAATTTTTTCTTATTAGACCTGATTGCTGAGCCTTTGGGTCTTGCATGAAGTAGACAATTCTACAATAAATTTCATTTTGCCTCTGGATCTACGTCATCTTCTCTGGGAGGTCTCTATTCATTTTGTCCCTGTGTAGTGAGTTTCTAGCTGTGTAAGCAGAAAGACTGAACCTGTTCTTGTTTTAAAGCAAGTTGCAAATACTCCTGAAATGGAGATTTGTTTTGTCAGGTGAGCACTACAGCAGCTGACACTGTGAGAGGTGGGTGAGCTCAGGTTGATCATGAACCCTCCCAGGCTGTGGCACGTTCTGTCAGCAGCAGGTGAGGCTGGGCTTGTGTGACCACTCATTGGTGTTTCTAATGTCAGTGGCTACTCAGCGGCGCTGAAGCAGAGACAAAATGTTGTTTTGTGGTGGCTGGGACACCTGCTCAGCTCCAGCCATTTCTCCCCTGAGATGTGCTGGCTCTGCAGAACTCTGAGTGTTTTCCGGCCCATCTGAGAGCAGAGGGTGGAAGGACATGCTGTCCTTTTCTGGACATAACATTCTGATTGCTTCAGAATAAATGACTGGGGCTTTGGATGAAGAATCAGGCCACTGTTTGTGTAGAGAGAAGGAAGCAAGGGACAAACAAATTCAGAGATAAAAAATTCAAATTTAATATGAGGCCATGAAAGAGTCAAAGCAGAAGGTTAAAAGCTCTGTTGTGTCAGAGAACAGTGTGTGATGTAGCCATTAAACTTCAGATTCCAGCACTGTTCTTTTTCAGGTTCAGGCAGAGGTGTAGGAAATTTCAGCTTTGTGCTGAGCCATTGGTATGTGCAGAACCTCCACAGTGAAGTTTGTAACTTTCCTCCATGTCCTGCTGGAGTTTGAGGTGAGCCAGAGTCAGGTTAAATAAAATGCATCTAGAATTAGTATGGGTTTGTGATCTACTGAAGGGAGCTCTCAAACAGGGAAGAATATCCAGTGATTTTGCTTTGATCTCTTCACTGAGGTGTATGAGCTGTGAACATGATGGGCAAGAGCAAGATAGCAGGACTTTAGGTAAATCCTCTGAGCATCAAGATGAAGGTGCCCAGTTCTCAGGCTGGCTCCTCCCAAACAGGGCTTCCTTCAGTTCTTCTGACTCCATCTCCGAGGAGCTTGTGGGGGAATTATAGTGGCTTTAGCAGTAGTTTGGGCCCAAGTATGTCAGAGTAATTTGTTAATTTTTTCTAAACTTGACCTAGCACTGGAGTTTGAACGTGCTTTTGTCCTGCATGGCGAGGTGGGAGCCTGTGGGAGGTGTGTGCTCCCACTCTGTCCTGCTGAGGGACGCAGGGGCTCACACCCACCTCAGTCTCAGGCACAGCCATCCTGCACCCCCCCTTCCTCTTAGGAGCCTGTTTTGCCCACTGCTTCCTTTGTTAGGTTGTTTTTTTCCTCCTACCAGCTTTTTCCTGTCATTTTTTTCCTCCCTTCTTGCTCACACACATGCACAAAACATTGTTTATTTCTCATCCTGCCCCTTCTGTTCTCTCTGCCTCCAGATCTTCTTTATTTCTGTCTTATATTCATTCTAATCCTGGGCTGGAGGGTGAGGTTTCAGTATTGCTGCTTTGAAACAAACCTGTTGGGATTTGTAATGGACAGGCAGATCCTTGCAGGGGCATATCACTGACATCTCTGAAATACAAGAAAGTAAAAGCCATCTTTAGGAAGCCACTGAAAAACTGAAGGTTTTGGTGGAGGAGCACAGACAATATAGAGACTTCCTGGGGTTTTTCTTCTTTAAAAAAGATTAAATGAATGATCTTTATCTTCCTCTAAATAGCTAGATCACACACTGATCTCTTCTGTTGATTTCTTCTGCTAAAACCAAAAAAACACAGAAACAAGATAGCTGAAGGTAGAGAAAAGCGAAGGTTTTGAAGCATGTCCAAACCACCAAGAATCATTCACTTTCCTTTCAAATGCAGCATTAGCAATAGAGCTCTAAATCAATGAAAGGTCTAAAATTAGATTATATTCCTGAGATCAGATGTGAATCACAAGTTAATCATATTTTCTTTTATTATCACTGTCTTTACCCTTTTATTTTATCCTGAGAAATTAGGTTTCTGTCTTGAAAACCTAGTGAACTGTGAAGGCATCAAACCCTGATGGGCGAGACCACACCAGATCACCTGTGGATGGGGCTCAAAAATCTTATGTTTTGGAGGTTCATGATGCATCCAAAACTGAGCTTGGTGATCTTTCAGTTGGTGCTGTGTTTCTCTCTCTCCTAACCTTCTGATGTATCAAGCTGTTTCTTAAATTAATGAGAAAATATTATTGCTAAAGCTTGCTAAATAAGGTTTGCAACCCACTCTGGAAGTGACAGGCGAGGACAGCAAGCAATTATCTCTTGACTGTGGCACAAAGCTCAGGGAACTGTGTTCTCCCTTCTGTATTTTTACCCGAAACTGTGGTGAAATGCACCCATATCTGAAGCAGAGGTACGAGGTGACCTGCAAGGGCGTGCAGGTGAAGTGTATCTGCTCATATGCAATGCAGCTGCAGGCTTGTTTCCTCACAAGCAGCACCAGCTTCAGTCCCAGAGCTGTGTGCAGGACACTGCAGGAACTCGGATGCAGCCCTGAGCCATGGCATTGGCATTGTGCCTGTGTGTGTATTTCTGGGAGAGATGTGTTTTGGTGGGCCTGGATCTGGCTGGTTGAAGGTGAAGGATGACGCTGTCCTGGATGCAACAAACGCTATGGACAGTGCCGGTATAACAAGCAAATGGTTTGCTTGTAGGATACAGATTTACATGAACAAAAATAATGAAGTGGCAGGAGGGGAGCCTGCAAAGAGTGTGCATGGTCAGCAGGAGTGTCCTGAAAGATGTCCCTGTGTGAACACCTTGAACACTTCTCCCTGCCATGGATCTTGTTCCATGGATCCATGGAGGCCAGGCAGGTGTGTCCGCAGAGGGTGACCACACACGCCAGCAGTATAGCTGCCCTATGAATGAGGGCTCATGTCCTTGCAGAGCAGGGAACTGGTGCAGTTTTGTGGCAAAGCACGTGAGGGTGGGCAGCACGTGATGGCCCAAACCCAGTGTTTGCCATCAGAGGGAGACAGGTGTGTGTGAAAGGCTCCTCCACCTTTCCTCTGTGCAGCCTCAGCACTTGCCAGGACATAATTAGTGGGGCTCTCGTGTTTCAGGGCAGGCTGTGGAGCAGCTGCTGAAGTGCCAGCTCAGTTGGTAGCCTTGAAAACAAAACATCCCTTGTTTCTCATCACCACTGTGAAACTCTGCCTTCCTGAACTTGGGTTTGGCCCTGCAGCTTTCAGGAGAGACAAAATGTGAGAATTTTGCCAATACTGTATTCTTCTAGGTCTGTGTAATATCCGTTATCAATTTAATGCGCCACTTTAATGAGATTTTGCTTTCTCCATCTCCTCCATAGAGCTGATTACTTAGTGTATGTGGTTGATGTTTTTCTTTTCTTTTTAGAGGAAACTGCAAGTGAAGAAGTTTAATGTTTGCTTCAGCTGAAGAGAATATTTCCCAAGTCCTGGTGGGAAAAGGTGAAAAAGAGGACCAGAGGATGTTGCTATGGTATGGAGATGACAGGAAGCCATGACTAGAAGGGGGATTGTCAACAGGAAACCAAGCACCGCAGCCAATGTGGCTCTGATGTACAGTACAGCTGCTGCACTGCGCTGCCTGCTGGACTCTGAGGCCTGGGGAGCACTGCCTGTCCCCAAGAGAGATTCTCCTGTCCATTTGTCTGCTGGAGTCTGAATTATTCTGCACCTGGTTAATCCACTTTGCTGGAGCTGGCAGACCCTGGGCTTTTTTTCTTGACACCACCTACCTGAACAGCTATGGGGAGAAAACCGTGTGTGTGAGCAGCCTTCCTGGGCTGGCAGCCGAGCACTCCACAGAGCCCAGGCAGCTTTGAGGGGTCTTGGCTGTTCAGTGCTCTGCAGATATGAACGCTGAGCTTTGGGCCTGGTTGTTCTCACCATGCTAGTACATGGGAAGGACGACTTCCTCTCAGACATAGCCTACATCATCCTGGAACTGATCATCGCTGTGCTGGCCATCCTGGGCAACATCCTGGTCTGCTGGGCCGTCTATTTGAACAGCAACTTGCAGAACGTCACCAACTATTTTGTGGTGTCCCTGGCTGCAGCTGACATTGCTGTGGGGGTGCTGGCAATCCCCTTTGCCATCACCATCAGCACTGGCTTCTGTGCCTTCTTCTATGGCTGCCTTTTTATAGCCTGCTTTGTCCTGGTCTTGACTCAGAGCTCCATCTTCAGTCTCCTTGCTATTGCCATTGACAGAATCATTGCCATCCGAATACCCCTCAGGTAAGCACGGGCTGGGCTGGGGTGGTGAGGGCTCAACATCTCTGAAAAACACGTCTGGAGATGAATCAAGGAAGGAAAAGTTAAATGAGGATCGGTTCTTTTTCTCCTGTATTTCGAAAGCAATTTTTATAGGTCCTAAAGTCTGTCTTGGCTGGTGGATTTTCTGGTTGCTTCCTTTTCCTGCTCTTCTCTGTTCTCCTATGGTGGGTGTCCATGGCATCACAGAGGTGCTGCCTGGGAGCTGCCACTCCATGCCTAGGCAAACTGTGCCCTGAGCTGCAGCCAGTGGCACCAGAGGGATGGTGGAGGGCAGAAAGGGGGAGAGGTCAGCTTGTCCCCCTCCCCGTGGGGAGGAGGGGGGTTCTGCCTGAAGCTGTAGCCGCAGGGCTGGGGGGAGGGAGGTGGGATTGTCTCTCAGGGGTCTGTTAAATGTGAAGGGAGAGGAAGGCTACCAAGAAATGGGCCTTAGGAAGATTTGGACTGGTTCAGGCACTGCCTCTGGAAGCATAGCATAGGTGAAGGTGAAGGCTTGTCCCAACCCATACCTTCAGGTGGGGATTTTGTGGTCTCTGCAGTTTAAAGAAAGGAAAGGACATTTTAATGACTAAGACTGGCTGCTACTTAGTGTGTGACCAGAGGGGCTGACGTGGGACAAGGGGAAGTTTTGCCATGCACACAGGGGCTGCTGCTGAGTTCAGTGTGGCAGGAGCAGGTTGTTGTGATGGGCTCTGTGTGCCCGTGTACGCGAGGCAGCGCCTCGTTGCTCCGAGGCACTCGCTGAGCTCCAGAGATGGAGAGGAAGCCCCTGGAGAAGCTGCTGCAGGAGAATTGTAGGAGTCTCCTTCCTTCCTGTCTTGTCCTCAGGAGGATGCAACATGCTCTCAGGAAAGGAGAGACTGCCTTCATCTCCTGACCAACCAAGATGGCTGCAAAAATGAAACAACTTTCTGATTTTTGTGCTCTTAGGTTTGAGTTTTTGGACATCCTCTCTCTTCTTGAGCTTAAATCACTTGTGCTGATCTGTGCAATTCAGTCCTGTCTCTTCTGAATACTTTGGTCATGCAGCACTTATATCAATTAACACAAACCTGTTTAAAACCAGAATGGGAGCCCTGGAGAGTGGAAATTGCCTTTCCATGTGGACCAGTGCAGCCAAGTCTTTCCTGAAGCCTCGCCTCAGCAAGTTTGTGCTGCTATAACATTGCATTTAATGGGTAGTTTCCAAACCCTATTGGTCATACCTGTTACAGCCTCTAGTTTTGATGTAGATGTAAGGAATAACTATTAAATTCAATTGCAGAGAAAACTCAGTTGATAATACAACTGTCTCTACTTTTCTACAGCTCTGTTATAGATGATTTCAGTTTATAAACCAAAATAATGATAAACGGTACAAGGAAATATGTTGAGTAGCCCCTGGGATCTGCCTCTGAAATGGTTTTGAGAAGAGCTGATGTCTTGATTTCATCTCTCATGAGGTAACTCTGAGGACAGCTGCTGACAGTTTAAGCACTCTTATTGCTAGAGGATGACTTGCCAGGAAAGGGATTTTAAAAATCTGGATTTCTGCCCACATTTTGGGCTATCACTGTGACTATATTGTATTGAAAATGTAATTTCCTGGAACAGCCAAGGTAAAGAGTCTTTTCAAAAAAAAAACCAGACTACATCAGTGCTGGGCATGACACCGGTTTCACTATCTTGTTTTGGAAAAAACAGAGCACACCCTCTTCTGCCCCAGGAACAGAGGGACTGATTGGATGCAGAAACCCACAGGTAAATCCATGGGTCCCTCCTCCTCTCTGTCCTCTGCTGGTTTGTCCTTTCACAGCAGGAGTGATGTACTTGTCAATTGTGTTTCCCCTTTAGAATTTATGGATGAATAAGCATTTATAGTCTCAGACATGCTGAGAAAGCTGATTCTCTGAAGAAATGTATAATTTAGATTGCCCACATCCTCACGTGTTTTTTTTTCTAATATCTGTTTGTCTCAAAAATGGGTCAAACAACTTTAAAGAAAGTTTTGCCACTAATAGTGTGTTGTTTTCAACTCATCCTTTAAAACCTGGGAAGGCTCCTCCTTCTCCTCACAGGACATGAAAGGTACCACCAGGTATTTCTAATATTAATTAGCTGAATCATTAATAAACCAGACTTCTTTCAGTCTAGAGAAACCAAAAAGGGCCAAACCTGTGCTTTGTTCTTCTGTTTCTCTTTAAATATTTTATGTCTGATTTGTCCTAAGGAAGATAATTGCATATGTGGATGTGCATTCCCACAGAAATAAACTTTCAGTGTTAAAAAGGCAGAAGAGTGGGTTTTCTGATACTGCTTGGTTTTGGGCCCCTAAGTACGTTATTAGTTAACTTTGAAATTATTTTTCTGTGGAGAAAAGACTCTCCTCCAAAAAACTGCAATGAGAAAAGACATTTATAGGTGAAATTTTAAAATGGATAAAAACTAATTTGTGAATATCTTATGTGTTCTGCCTTTCAAACAGTTGAAACATTTTGTAGATTTTGGTCAATTTTCCACAAGTTCTCAGGCACTTTGGTGAATTCTGGCAGGTTTTATACAAATGTAACACTCTGCAAGTGGCAGCAAGGCACTCCCAAGGAAGGGAGCCCGAGCCATTGTTGACTCTAGGACAAAATGAGGTCTCTCACATGACAGGTACCTGAAAACCTGCACTGGCTAATATCAAACCCCCCAGGTGCTCTGAACAAAACTGGCTGTGAGTCTGAGCCCCAGGATGAAGCCCTGGGCCAAGAACAATTGCTGCTCCGTGGTGCCAGCAAGGGCTCCGTGGGCAGCGCGCCCAGCCACGTGCTCCGGTGCAGGCATTTGTAGAAAGATATTCCCAGGGCAAGGACAGGTAGCTCCAACACTCTGGAAAGAGAGGGGAAATTTTCCTTCCTGCAGCCAAACAGAAAAGTTTGCTGAGGTTACTGAGGTTGCTGCTTGCTCTGTGCTGGATTCAGGCATGAAACACGTCGGTCATACATTACCAACTGCAGGCCTTTTCCTCTGGTGAAAACTGCTTTTGCTGCTGCAATGTTTCTCTGGGGAAATATTATTTAAGGTGCAGCTCCCTGACGTCTGGAGTTTTGGGACTGATTTATTCCATGTGCTGGTGATTTCAACTGCAGTTCTGAGGTGGCATTGAGGTGTTTTTCTGCCAGAGGACATGAAGAACTGGCTTCCCAAAGTCTAGGAAGAATAGGGGAGATGAACCCCAACCCTGAACAAAATATAGGATGTGCAAGGGACCTTTGTGCTGAGAACAGCCTGTTTCAGTAGTTGCTTTAATTCCCTAGAGTTCCTTTCTGAAATGCTCATATGTGAGCATGTAAACCAGTGAATCAGGGTTTTAATGTTTTATTGCCACTTTGAGCCATATGTGGACTTATTTCTTTCCCTGCTCACCATAAACCTGTTGACTTTATGGCAGGCATTTCCTACATATGCTCATATGTTAAATACATTTAAGGCAAGTTCAGCTAGTGTGAAAACAGAGTAATTCCCCTCCTTCTTTTAAATGGGCACAGCTTTGAAAGCAGTGCCTTCATGGCCTGCACAGAACTTGCTGTTACCAAGGTTTATTCAGGAAGCTGATCACGTCACAAGCAGAACTGTGTCTGCCCATCATTCCTGCTTCTGCTGTTTAGAGGAGATAATGCTGGGCACCTGTGCCCACCTGTGGGACCCCACTTCTCCCATCTCCATAGCGTGGATAAACACCAGGATCAGTTGGTACCTGGCAATAGAGGAGGAAGGTTCTGGACTGAGTGGTTTGGGAGAGGTTGTTTAGTTGGTACATGTGAAGGTCTCAGTGTGATTTCTTGCCCCGTCACAGATTTCCTGGATGATCTGGGATTGCCAGGGTCTCTCATTTCTACATACATGTGATAGGGATTGAATATCCTGCTTGGTCCTGTCCCTGATGGCTGCAGCTGCCTGAGGTGTGGGCTGTTGAGTGGATGTGCTTGGTGAGAAGAGTTTTGTTGTGATTTGTTAAACACCTTTGAACAGTGCTGGAATTCAGATCAAAGGCCTCAGCTGAGCACAGGCATTCTGCGTGATGCAGTAAAGGTCTCTCAAAAATGCTCCACAGCTGACAGAGGATGTGCAGATATCCACCAAAGGAGGGTTTGGGAGACAAGCAGCAGGATGGCTGGACACTGTGATGGTGAATTAGGGCAGCTACATATCATTCAGTGTATTGAAAGATCTTAACTTCTCCCTGAAGACACTCTGGACAGACTACCAGCTTTATCTTCCACCCAGTCGCAGGGACTGTGCAGGAATCTTTGTCTTCATGGCACAGAACTTAGTCCAAGGAACCAGAAGTGGCACATCCACAGCCAGGTTACTCTAGGCAGCCCAGAGGAGCTTACATTCACCAAGTGTAGCTGTTCTTCTGCTCCATTTTGCCAGCTGGCTGGTTGGGAAAGCAGCATGGCTGGTTGAAACTATTTTGGGGAAAACTTTCACATTTTCAGGTGTTTGCAAAAGTTGGGTTTGCTCTTTAGAGGAGACATGTGACTCTATCCCCACCATGAGCATCCCTGTGCCCTGCACTCACATCCTTTGTGTCTGGAATTTCACAAGCAGAAGTGATTGATTGTAGAGCAAGTGTGTTATTTCCAGGAAGCAGAGCTGTTGGTGCACAGACAATCCAGTGCTATGGGGACACATCAGACATGCTGCAAAGTGACCTGCCAGCTGTGCAGATCATGGGCTGCAGGTGTGACCTTCCAGCAGGTCGTGTCTCCTACGTGGTGCCAGCAACTCCCAGGGTAGGGGATGAGTCTAGGAAGCCCTGAAGTTACCCTGTAGAGCTCTGCAGCACTGAGGATATGGAGAGTGGCTTTGGTCTGGCTGCTGTGAGCCTGGAAAGATACTGAGACAAAGTACACAAAGATGTACACAATGTCTTCAATAACATCTCCAAGTGGATGAGAGGAAAGAGTCCAGGAAAGCCCATCTGGATTATAATGCTACCTCAGCCAAGTCAGTCAGAGGTGCCTCATGTGGATTCTAGAAATTAAGCTCTCCTAAACAAATTAGCACTTCTCAGTGGGTACCTGGCCAGCACAAAGCCATTGGCTTTGTCAGGAGATGCTGTGAGCTTTCTGTCCTGACCCTCAGAGTTATTGAGCAAGGTGTCATGGACATGCACTCCAGCACAATGCTCTGCAGCTGGGAAGCTGCTTGGGTTCAGTGCTGTTCTGAAACCTTGTAAAGCTTCTTGCATGGGAATCCCCAGAGGACAAGAGGGAGGGGGAAGTGTGGCGGGGTGTTTGTCTGGAGCAGTAGTGAATATATTTTTAGTGGAAGGGAAGGGACATCTCTAGTCGTGGGATAACAGCTGCACAATTTCAAAATTCCTCTGACAAGATGTAGCTAATTCCAGGGCTGCAGGGTTTTGATGGTTGTGGGATGTTTTTGGGGTTTGTTTTTGTGGAGTGGTTTTTTTGTGGTTTTGTTTTTGTTTTGGTTTGGTTGGTTGATTTGTTTTGTTGTTTTTTCAGGGCTTCAAGGGCCTCCAGCCACTCTCTTACCTCCCTGAGTGTACATTTCAAAGCACAGATGCTGTTTTGATGTGTTGATGAGATCTGAATGGAGCAGCTCTCTGCTACCATTCATGCAACCTTTAAGCACTGGGCAGGATCCACTAATTGATGGAAAAAACCTTTTTCTCCCTCAGAATCAGCTGAATTCCTTCCTCATTTCTGGAAGGGCAATTTAGGTGTGTTTTTCGTGCTGGGAATTGTGTGGTTGGCTCCTTTATCCACTTACTCTTTTCTGGTTTTGAAATGCAATCGAGAAAGGGAAATTCAAGCCTGAGTCTTGTTTTTTTCCAAAGCCCATTGTCAGGGATTTAAAGCATGTGCAGGATCTCCATTCTTTACTGTGCAAAAGCAGCCACTCTTCTCCTCTGTCTTGAACTTGTGTTGGGAGAGGAGCATGAACCTGTGGGAGTAATTATTTCACTTGGGAGATGGAAAGATTTCTGTGGCTTGTTGTATTATTTCTTGTAATGTTTGTTTTTGGAGAGAACTGGGGACAGAGGGAGAAGGAGCACTGAGTAAACACTGGGAGCCCAGTGCTACTGTCTGGTCAAATACAGTGTGGGACCCATGCTGCACAATGTGGGAATCCAGCCATCTACTTTCCATGCTGAGCATTACCCAGGGAAGGAAATTGCATTGAAATGTTAAACTGCTGCCCTAATTTACATTTTCAGAGTGGAGAACTGGTGGAGTCAGCTCAGGACTCGCAGTAACCTGTGAGGCCCTGAAATCTGGCTGGTATTTCAAACTAACCAAGGTCTGTGCTGCACTCTGTCAGATTCTTACCATGTTGCTTATTGTTTCTTTCAACAGATCTTGGAAAGTTTACTGTTAGGAGCACTGGCTTCAGCCAGGCACCAATACCTCGACTACTGAGGTCCCTCTGGTGTGTGCAGTGCAGGCCATGGCACACCTGTAGTCAGAGGATTGTTTCCAGCTTAATTCCTCTTTTCTGAGAAATTCATGGGGTTGACTTAGCTGGGCTGATGAGGAAAACTGCTGATTTACCTCAGTTTTTCAATTTCAAGAAAGTTGGTGGTGCTGGTCTTCCTGAACATGCCACTGAGGAACAGAGTGCCATGCAGACAATGCCAATCTGCCTGCTGTAGCTGAGCCAGCAGGATTTCCCTGGGCACACCAGAATGTGGATGCAGGGCTGGTGGCACTGTGCCTCCAGACTCTTTTGTGCTTTTTGGTTTACAGATCTACTGCAAGACAGGCCTAACAATTCCATGCTAAAAGGCTGCTCCTTTGCCAGGAAGGAGATGGTGCCTTAGCCTTTGGCAAGAGACCCACAGTGGTCTTCATCATAAGGGTCAGAGCAGTGCTCTTGGTTATCCAGGCTGAAGATCTGTGTGCACACCCAAGTGGGCTGGTGGAGTGAAGGAGCACAGATGAAAACTGAATTAATTTCCCTGCTTTTCTGTCAACTATTCACTGCTTAAAGGAAAGGAGAGGGAAGTAGGTGGCAGACAGTGTCACCATATCCTTGGTGTATGGCATGGGTTCTGCACATCAGTGCAAAGGACCCTCTGATGAAGCAGGTGCCTTTCTCACTGTCTTCTGGAACATGGGGCCATTTTGAGGTTGTGTGGGTGCCAGCAGCTTGTTGAATGATACTGATACAGCTCCCATCTCCTCTGCTTTTACAGGTACAATGGCTTGGTGACCGGCTCTCGAGCCAAAGGCATCATTGCCATCTGCTGGGTGTTGTCCTTCATCATTGGCCTGACCCCAATGCTGGGGTGGCACAAGCGTGCCCAGATCGAAGAGCTGGGTTCCAACTGGTCCTCTCCCATCAACTGCAGCAACAGCATGGTGGCGTGTCTCTTTGAGGCTGTTGTCACCATGGAGTACATGGTCTACTACAACTTCTTTGCCTGCGTGCTCCTGCCCCTCCTTCTCATGTTTGGTATCTACTTGAAAATCTTCATGGCAGCCCGGCGCCAGCTCAAGCAGATGGAGAACAAGATGGTACACGGGGAACGTTCCCGCTCCACGTTGCAGAAGGAAGTCCATGCAGCCAAGTCTTTAGCCATCATTGTCGGGCTGTTTGCAGTCTGCTGGCTTCCACTACACATCATTAACTGCTTTACCCTTTTTTGCCCAAATTGCGCCCACGCTCCCCTCTGGCTGATGTATCTGGCTATTATCCTGTCTCACGCTAACTCGGTTGTAAACCCCCTAATTTATGCCTACCGCATCAGGGAGTTCCGACACACCTTCCGTAAAATCATCAGCCAGCACATCCTGGGCCGCAAGGAGCCGTTCAAAGCGGGAGCAGCCAGCTCCAGGACTTCCACCCACGGCGGGGACGCAGAGAACGCCAGCATACGGATCAGTGAGTATGCACTAGAGGTATACACCAACGGAGAGATCCACAGGGATCCCGAAAAGCAGGACTTAAACAAATGCAAAGCTGGCTTGGAATGGCACCAGAATGGAAATGCTCTGGACTTGGAGACAAATGGGCATCTGCCACATTCCTGCAAAAATGGGATTCTCTCAGATGCATGCCTGAACAGGGAGCTTCACAGTGAAGAGCTAATTGATGCCCAGGTGTCTTATTCAGATCTGGAAAGAGCAGCCTTTGCTGCAGCTGATGTTTCCTGATGAGACTTTTGAAGTTTTCCTGGTAGAATTATTTTTTTTTTCCATTGGTGACCTCTGCCATGGCAGAACAGAGGTTGGGGGGTGGGGGGAGAGCAGTGTATTCAGATCGCTGTGGAGAAAGGGGTCCATATCCAGGACTATTGGATGATCCTAAATACCAGACTGGAGAAAAGCCAAGAGATCACTGAAGTGGACTAAGGAAGGAGGGACAAGTTACCCATCAATGACCTGTCACCAAGAGCAGTGCCAAGGTCGAGGATGGCATTCCAAGTTCAGCACTGGGAGACTGCTGATGCAGGGATTTCAGGACACTTTGCTGTACTGTGCCTGTGGTTGAGTGTTGGTTTCGCTGTCTTTACCAATGGAAATAGAAGCGTGGCTGGAAGTACTCCCTGAATAACAAAGAGCAACTGGAATGGCCTCTGAGTACTGTGGCCCTGCAACAAGCAGAAGAGGAGATAGCAAAATCTGTTATCAGGAAGGATGCCAGGAGCTGCTTGGAGAGGGAAGGAATTTACCTGATGGGAACTCGATACTTTCAAACATGGCACTTTGTCTTTCATTTTGTGTTCTTAAAGCTTATACTGCAACAGGTTGCTCAAATGGTTTTTTCCCACATGATGATAAGGTTACTTTATGTTAACTTATAAAAGATGGGCAAGAACTCATATCCATTCCCTGAGTGCTCAGTGTTCCAGATGCACATAGCCAATATAACCTCTTAGGACTCCACTTTGTCCAACAAATCACCAAAGCTGAGCCTTGCTAAGGATTTCCCTTTGCAAAAGGGCTGTTAGCAGGACGTGGTGCTGTGGGCCAGGGCTGTGGACTATGTCCTCAGGGCAGGGCTGTGAAGAGCTGTGAGTGTGTGATCTCTTTGTAGGCTGGTGGTGCCTTTTGCTTTTCGCCTGCCTCTGTGCTTCTCCTCCTGAGCTCCTAGAATGCAAATTCTTTCCATGGCCCCAGATGTGTGTGGGGAGGTAATATTCCATATTTCTGTCATCTTCATTCTCACTCAACAGGCTGAGGGACTTTTTTTTACTTCTTTCTTGGGATAGAGAGCAACCCGCACACATACCTTGACCTAATTTTGGAATTCCAATGAGCGCTATTTAAAAACCCTTTTCTCCTGTGATTTCAGTTTTTTCTTGTGAAGCCTGATATGTCCCTGTGGTGCAGAGGCCAACAGAGGCAGCTCTGAGCTCTATCTTGTTAGAAGATGCTCCTGCTCTGAGAAGCTGAAAGGTGTCAGTAGTATTGGAACTCAGCTTAGAAACTACAGTTTCTGCTTTCTGTAGAAGAGAACAGGCAAATTTGTGCTGCATCAAGTGTACACACTGCTGTGGTTTGTTGCAGTGGTGTTTCACTGCAGTTTGGTAATTTTCTGGAAGGAAAATTAAGGAAATCCAGAGCTCGAGGACAGCGGAAAACCACATCAGCTTGAATTCTACCTGAAGATTGTCTGGGCTGTGTTTTTCAGACAAATAATCCATGTCCAGTACTACCAGGCTTCTGGAGAGACAGAAAGTAGTGGTCCTACTGGCAAGACAAAAGTCTGGTAATTCCAGGGATCTGAAGCTTATTCCCTAGCTGAAAGCATCAGAAATATCCTCCCCCAGTCTGATTCCTCTTCATGTCTGTCCACTAACTTTCAGAAGCCAAGGGGGATTTTCATACTTGAGGAAGAGCAGGTTAGGTCTGTATGTTCTTATTCTAGGTTATTTTATATATTGTGAACTATTAAAATGATAAATCAGTTTTATTTTGGGGAGAATTTTCTTTTTGCGAGTTTCCCTACACGCATGTGGTGAGAAGTTTGTGATGCTGAATGTGTTTGAGTATATAGCTGCTCTGGGCTAGCACAAAGCTTACTGTGAGATGGATAAAAAGATGTGGCTGCCACCACAGTCCTTAGCAGAAAGACAGGCCAGTTTGTAAAACAATAGGCTGTGGTTTGATTGAACTGCTGCTTTCTTGGCAGGGCTCTTCCCCCTGGTCTGACATCAGAGGAGAGGATTATCACTCCAGCAGCATGAAGGAGCACTACTGAGCCATTTCCCTGTGACTGACGTCATAGGTAGCTCCTCCATACGGTGACTCAGGATCTCATTACTCTTGATCCTTCTTGATGCAATATTTCTGTAGGTTATTTGTGTGATGGCTTCTCTGACCCCCTGTAACAGCAGCAGAGGAACTCAAGAAAATGGGGGGCTGTTCTCTTCAGGTCTCAGCTGGGAGCTAAAGTGTTTCTAAGAATAACACAAGATTACATCCGGCACTCATGTCAATAACAATTAGGTCCACAAAGACCCAGAGCAGGGAAGGAAGTGTGGGAAAATACCAGCATTGCTCATGTGCTGGAACACACACAAATGCAAAAGTGTTGCCTGTTGAGCTTTAGCTGCCATTGGTAGAGGGATGGTTTGCACTGCATTGGATCAGACTTTCAACAGTTGGTGTGGATTGGTTGCTTTCTATATTTCCTGAGCATCTCCACACTTAGTTGTGGCAGTTTCTTGCTTGGTTGCCCCCCCAAGAATCAAGTTGATCTATATTGATGGACAAACTTAGGATTGCTTTGCTTTCCAGATTGCTCTGGAAAACCTTCCTGCCCAACCAGATCACATGAGATTAGTGACTTTCCACATGTCTTGAATTTAGCTTTTGTGCTGCTGCTTGAGCTGCCCCCAAGTGTATCCAGTCCCTTTCAATATTAGTGATCAAGACTTGAAGTGAAAAGGGTATGTGAAGGGGGTGGGCTGTGTGCAGGAGGAAGATCAGGGTATGGACAGTGTGGTTTGTAGAGCTGTCTGCAGTCACAGGAAGGAAGGGATGGCAGCTGCACTACATGCTAGGCCTTCTGGCAAACATATGGCTGAGATGGACCCTCAGAGGATGTTTCTGAAGCCGTTGTTGGGGAGAGCAGGAGCCTTTTGAACAGAATGTTTTACCTCGTATTTCTTATTTCTTAGGGATTATAATTTATTATAATTTTATGGCTTCCTGCTTTTTGATTTGTTCTCCATTAAAAAAAAAAAAAAAAAAAAAAAAAAAAAAAGAGAGATCCCATCAATGAAGTGTGCTCTTTCCTTCTCCTGGCAGCTCTCCACTCTTGAGAGAGGTACCTGCCTTCCAAACTTCCTAGGACCACTCATATCCCCATTTTTCTTCCAGCTGGAGAATGTTTAGCTGATCCAGTTGTTCTGGATAAACAAAGATGGTGCCAAGACAAAGGAAAGAATGAGGTGACTATAAGGAGAGGCTGGAGAAGACCTTCCTGGGAATCCCAGGTGCAGTGGGTCCAGAGAGTAGGTGCTGGGGTCAGCTGAGACTAATTTAATTGAACAAGAACTTCTTGCTAAAAAAGTCTGAAGATGCATAGAGAGATGTGGTGCCTCATTTAGTGTGAGGGCATTCCATGAATTTCACCATTCCCTGAAGACTTTTAGGCTCCAGAGTTTATTTGCTTTATAAGAGTTTTGAAGAAAGCAATGTTTGATCAGTTGCCAGGAGTAATTTTACCAAGCGTTCTTGGGGCTCTCTCCTCAATAAGGCACTGCTTTTTGTGTGTGCAATTAAATGTGCTTACAGCTGTATCCTGCAGAGTCCCATTTGGATCAGTGATATTTCAAAGCTCTGTGCAAGTTTGAACTGCAGCTTTTGAACCAAGAAGTGATTTGGCATGGTGGGACAGCTGGAAATACTGGAGACAGGAGGGGTTTCTCACTGGTCCCAGTTGGTGCTAGGGTGCAGGTAGACTTGGAGTGACGTAGAATAGTCTGAGCCTTTGATCATTTTTTGAAGATGCCTCAGGGGATGCTGGTGGATATAGAGAAGTCTCTAAGATGTGGGAACCTGGAGGGTCAGGATGGACAGGAATTCTTGGTAGTGGAGGAGCATTTGTAGAGTAGGTGTTTGGGAGGATTTCAGGGGAGCAGGAATGTGCTGGGAGGTGCTGTGGGGTGTAGAGATGATGCTGGCTTGAGACCAAGGTGGGACTTGCTGAGGAAGGACTCTGGAAGGGAAGTACAGCCTTAGAACTCTCCTGGTGTCACTGCAAGGATCCTGGCGTGTGCATAGGGTTGACTTTGTAGGGTCTATATTGACTGAGACAGGGATGGTTCTTATGGATTATGTTCTTTCCAGACACTTTGTCCCATTTCATGAGCACCTCCAGGTATAACAAATTCCCTTCTGCTTCAACGAGCATGGGCCCTACTAAAACCAAATCCTTCCAACCAAATTCTGTGGAAGGACAAAAAGGCTGCAGTGGTGCCACAATGCATTAAACCTGCATGCAATACTCTCTGGTGGTGTTTGCTAAGTTCAGCTGCCTAAAAGTCAGTTCTTTTCCAAATTGTTTTGGGCATTAAATTGCACTGAGTCATTTCAGTGTTTTTTTCTTTCCAGCCCTGAGTTCTGGCTGTCTTTATGGCAAAACACATAAAGAGTAACAAAAATCACCAGTTCCTCATTTGTATGAGAGGTGACTAACCCTGACAGATGAGAATCCTCAGGCTGGGGCAATGTTGTGTGTAACTCCCCACCTTACTTGGCTGCTGGGGCTGTTCATGCAAGGATGTGTTAAAATCAAGACTGGAACCTGTTGATCTGAGAACATCTATCCCTCCCGCCACTGTCTCAGGAGCTGGTGTTCCTGCCCTTTCCTGTGGAGAGGTTCTCTGTGGTCTGCAAACCAAGACACTATGAACACCCCGCTGCACATGCTTCAGTATGAAACAATTACTCTTTTAATTTAAATGTTTTATTATATAGGTGTTGTTTTCCCTTTGTCAGTTACCATTTGGCGGGGGGTGGGAAGGGAGTGGGAGAATCTGTGCATGCAAATGTATTTAAAGTGCATTGACCAAAGGTTTTTTTGAATCTGTGAAGTTTTCATATCTGTGAAGTCATCAGACTGCTGGGCAGTGAGGAGCCGCTGGTGCTGCGGAATCTGTCTTGGTTACATTTCTTAATAAGCATTAAAATAATAAAATATATTTGTAAAAGAGAGTGTGAGTGCCTTTGTCCCAGGAAGATCCGGCTGGCTGGATCTTGTGTGCAAGTATTTTTTTTATTATATTATTAGCTTTGTCCATTGATTGATCCTTCTGGAGAGCTCTCTCCCTGGAGCTGCCTGTGCTTTCACAGCAGAGATTAGCATGGACTAAAGTGAGAGACTCAAATTAACTTGAAGACTCCTTCCATCGTGGCAGTAGAAATCCTTTACAGCTGTGTATGGAGCACAAAGTAGAGCTGTTTTCACCCAAACCACTGCCCTGGCAGGAAGGGGGTGTTCCACAGCAGGACCTGAGGGTCCATAACTGCACCATGCAACAGCTTTGCCAGCTGTGACTGGGCCATCCCATGCTACTGGCTCTCCTTCCATGTGGCCCTGCTGGTGCACCTCAGACCATCACCCTTTCTTCTGCCCAGTTCTTGCCAGCCAAATTAGTTTGGAAATGGAGGCAGGGAATCTAGATGCTGCTGTGGTGTTTCTCCTGTCAAATCTGAGCAATGCTGAAGCAGAAGTAATTTCCAGCATTTTCCACCTGGCAGCTACTAAATGTGTGTCTAAGGAGGTTAATAGAAGTCTGTGCAATCCAAGAGCACTTGGAATTGGGAGGTTCTGAAATGAAAGTTCACCCAATAGCCATCAACCACCAGT